ATTTATCAAATACATATAAACAGTCCATTTGCTGCTTTTTTTTCATTAGTTACAGTACAAGTATGATTGTCAGTTATTATCTGTTTTTTACTGGTGGGTTATTTATTGAAACCGCAGAGCAACGGGCATTGTTGTTTTCTAAATCATTTTGTCTAAGGCCTGCAGGACATTAAACTAAATGTCAGATCAATTTATCAAAGAATTGCTCTATTCAGGATAAATGTGACTTAGGCTGTGTATAATACACCCTCCTGTCCTTACATAAGCAGTATGGGACTCTCACAGAGAGGCATAGATGCTGACTAAGTGGGAACAGCCTTCTGTCGGGTTGGTTCAGGAAGGATGTGGTGTGTGTTGCTGAGTTAGGTAGTATGCAGGTGAGTAATGTGTACCCTTGATCTGGAGTCACGTAGGAAAGCACCTCAACGCGCAGCCCCTGGTGCAGAGGGTTTCCAAGAATGGTGTCTGTGGATAGAAGACCAAGAGGCTGCAAGTCACTGTCTGACTTTCACCAGTCAGATAGGCTGAGTGCTTTAAAGCATTGTTGGAGGGAATGTCACCCAGAGACGGGGAGAGACGAGTGCAGAAAGTTGCCAGAGTTGAAAGCAGAAACAGCTCAAAACTGAGGTTGCTTCATTGAAAACAAATTCCTTTCTCAGTAAATGGGTTGCTTTGTAATTTGCAGTAGCTTGATCATTGAAGGTTTCCATGGTTTGCAATTTAAAAATGGCAAACACAATACCCTTACCCAACATTGCCTAGAAACCCCCCCTTTTGGTGGCTTCCATTCATGTTGGAGGTAATCTTCTCACCATGCAGCCCTCCTTCCCATTCTCCACAATCAAGAAGCATGACAATGAACTGAAGGAGTTTTTACTCAGTGCTGTGGAGAGCAGTTGGGTTACAGCCCTTCATCTCCTTCTGAAGCTTCTTGCATTTGGTACTAACATCTGGGATCTGCAAACCCAGGTTTAACCCACTTGAACCTGCCTGGAGGTAGTTCTCCTTTCCATGTTCATTTGCAGTGAACTCACAAAGGGTCCCAGAGTGGCTACCTTCGGTCGCTTCACCCTGCTTCCTTCTGTTTCATATCTGTGTGGTTGTAGGCTGATGATTTGTGTTTTCCCAATTAACCTTGAGATAAAGACTGAAGAATTCAAGTAGTTAGCTAAAATATGAGTTAAGGAGAGTATACCTGTTTCATGTGATCTCAGTGTGGACCTGTACCTTCTGTGGTGCAGAGTGAATCACATGGTTATCTTAATTATCAGTGTTCAAGGGAGCTGGGTTTCCAAAGTGACTTCTGTCTGATTCTGCCACTCCATCTCTAGAGTTGTGAACAGCCTTGGAGCTGAAAAAGGCACCTCTTGAAAGGCATGTCCTTGGAGGAATTTTTGGAGGTAAATTGCCTCAGCCATTTTTGAACTGTGACACAATGAAAGAAAATTCAGTTCTCTATTATTGAAAGTGGACTGGAGCTGTAGAATTCTCAGTTGCTTATGGTCATTCATAATGAAGAGCTCTGTCCAAAGAGTTATAGCCAGAATGCTTTGCCGTTGTTTCTTGTATTGACACGCTAAAATATTTCATGGGAAAATGAATTCTGGAGCAGAATTTTCTTGTGCATTTTAATACTATATGTCAATGAACATATTTTTAATATATACTACATGCAGAATAGAATATGTGATATATATGCACGTATCTGCTTGAAAGATTTTCTTTCCTATGGGCAATTATCAAAACAGACTCTCTCTGAGACAGTTGAGCATTAGCAGTTAAAATTCTTTTGCACAATTCATTAGATGGCAAGAGTTTTACAGCATCCAGTCCTGTGTTAGAGGGCTGTTTAATTAGATAACTGGAGAAAGTTCACAGGAAAAAAATGGAATTAAACTATAATTTTATTTTAGTGCAAACAATGGAAATATTGGCAATGTTTTTTTGCATAACACATTTTCCATGAACTTTTAGAGGACTGTGTAAACACATGGAAGGGTGACTACATGTGCTCTGACAGCTAATATTCTGACCTTGCTGTCAGTGATGGCTGCTAGGACCACCCATTCACTCTCCTGTTCACTGTCTAATCCGTAATTGGCCTCAGGGGTCTCAAATACTTCACTTGTTTTATGATCATGCCCCTGATATGCCAGTTTTTTTTTTTCCAGCTGTAACCAAAATGGTAGTACCTGGGGAATTTAAAAAGAAAGATTTAAAAATTTATATTGAGGGACGACTGGCCGACACAGAGGGTAGGAAGGCGGCAGGGCGATTAAAGAGTCAGAGACTGATCCTTCATCTATTTATTGATTTACTCTCAAAATGGCTGGCACATGTGGGTCTGGAAATACTGAAGCCAGTAGCCAAGAATTTAATCTTGGTCTCTCACGTGGGTAGCAAGGGTACAGATTCTTGGACCATCTTCTTCTGCCTTCCCAAATGTATTAAAATATTTTTCTCTTAAGTTTGTTTATTTGAAAGGTAAAGCCACAGGGAAAGAATGCCAGCACACACCTCCATCGATTGCATGTTCCTCAAATGCCTGTCACTGCCCTGGGCTGGGTCAGGCCAAAGCCACAAGCAAAACTCCATCCAAGTCTCCTGTGTTGGTGGCAGGGGACTAAGTGCTTGGGCCATCACCTGCTGCCTCCCAGGATACCCATCAGCGGGAGGCTAGATCAGAAGCAGAGAGGCTAAGACGTGGACCACACACAGTCCACGTGTCAGCCTAACGTGCTATGCCGAAGGCTTTATAATCTTCTGGCTCCTTGGTCTTTGTTTTGGCAATCCACTTTTCCTAAGGCAGAGCAAAAACAATCAGATACAGAGGATCATTTTCCTTCTCTGCTTGGCCTTGTGGGCAGGGGACCATTTGAAGGACTCATTGTGCATAATGAGTTTTGACTCAAGGTGTACTTTCACATTGTGGCATCAATTAGGCAGTATTATGACATTTGCAATGGGTTTTAAATAGTCTAATGCAAAGATCAGCTTTTAGGAGCTTTGTGATTTTCCCCCTCTAATAAATATGTAAAAATGGCAATTATAGTTAACCTGGGAAAGTGACAAGGTCCAGAAGAATGCTTCAGATTCTATCCAGTTTATGAAGTATGTTGCAGTCATTAGGGAATATGTAGTTCTTGAGACTTCGTGAAGCCTTTCTTTGACATTAAAGAGAATGTGGCATGTGAAATTAAGGCAAAGGAACTTATCTTTGGCTGCCACCCTTCCCTGTCAGACACTCATCCATAATTTCCAAGGACTTTCCTTGCAATAGCACAGCACATTTTAGTGGAAAAGATTTCACAAAACTCCACCTTGCCACTAGACAGGAGACCGTCCTCTACGTGTGGAGGGAATGCTGATGGGCCACTGTTGGAAGGATGAATGGTTTGTTGCTTTTTCCCTTCAGCTGTGAGAATGAATTCACAACTTGTCTCTTCTCTTGCCCCTGTGAAGAACAGATCTGTTGGTTAAAAAAAAAAAAAAGTTATCTGAGGCTAAGAGTACATTGGCTGTCGAGCTTGGAAAATCAGATGTTAAGTCTCCTGTCTATTATCCAGGCTTTCACTTAAAAATGACTTAGCACTGACTACAAAGTTTCAGAGAGCCCAATCCCAGATTGGAATTGTTATTCAAAATAATAAACGAAGAGGCATATTGCAGAGACATTATTTTGACCTTTCTCAGGGATATCTATCTCACAGTAGACTTGCTAACTGTAGGGGGATGCCAAGGGCAGCTATCTCATAAAACACAAGCCAGAGCAAAATGACCCAATTCCTTGGTGTTAAACCTGTTTGAATCCTGCATCCCCAGCACCCAGAGGAGGCTGTTCATGTTTATTCATGCTCTGGAGAATGGAAATCACTTGGCCAAGAGGCAGTATGTTCTGATTTTTACTCTAAATCCAGTTGCTCATAATCTATTTAAGGGTTTAGGTGAATTCAACAAGGATCTAACAAATCCAGGTAATTGAAACAACGCAAAGGCAGATAAAATTCACAGGAGATTGTGTCAGAGATAAAGTGTGGCGGGAGATACCATGGACAATAATTAAAACTAATTGTGCACTTGGATGTAAATTAATTTCTCCAGAAAAGAAATTGAAACTTCCTTTTGGACAGCTTTTTCACACCATCTGCAATCTGTAGAATACCTGCCGAAATGAAACAAGGCACAAAAATGGGGTGTTCACTGAAAATGGGCAAATGCCCTAAAAGATGGAAGGTGTTGATGTGCAGAGGGAAATTTCTTCTACTTGCAAATTGAGCGGAGTTTTTGCCATCTGCCTATGAGTCAGGCAGCAGTGGGGTCAAAGTGTGCTGAGCGGGGAGGAGAGTGGTAAGGGTGTTTAGAAGAAAAGCAAAGGGCTAACTCTGCAGTTCAGAGTCATGAAGAGTCTAGCTAGAGAGTACAAATCAATGCAGACTTTTGCATGATAGACATGACAGTGACAAGAACATATTATCCCACTCTGATTTTCTCAGAGTCTCGACTCAGAACAAACGGTATTGCCTTAACGTGCTCCTGTGGTTCTTTATGACTTTTGAGCGGGCCCCTGTTTACAAGTTTTGTGCATGTTGGAAAACTGGGGCTGTGCACACGGGAAACTTGTGTTCATGTAAAGGAAATGTTGACAGTTGAATTATCAACTGTTACAAACACAGAAGTTTAATCATAAGTGAGAGCAGCCAGCATCGCCCAGTCTCGTTGCTAGTGTCAGGTGTCTAGTTTTGTATGTGAGAACAGAAAGAGCAATACTGCTTCCATCTTGGGATTTTTTTTTTTTTACCATTACCATTACTTTATACAGTTTGAAAGACAAGCATCTGAAAAGCAAATTTTTTTATTGCATGTTAATGCCTGTTTGGGAAAGCTTTCTAAGCTGTTAGTATTTTGTGTTTCAGGAGTGGGAAGATATGCATGTTTTATATGCAGTTACATGAGAAACTTCGTCATAACTGACTTTTGTTTTCTGTTTTTTCCTTGTCCAGGATGATTACTTTAGAAGCTGGAATCCCAACAAGCCCTTTGACCAAGGTAAAGGATGCAGTATATCCTGTTGTACAATCTGTGGTGAAATGCTGTCCAAATGTTCTTTGCTTGTATGTGGAGTTAATGCTCTCACCAAGGTCAGCAGGTAGTCTTAATTTGAAGACAAAATTGGTAGCGTAATGGAAATTATTTCGTCACATCGGTTGTTTGAGGTTATGTCTGGGACAAATGTAAACACTTCTTTTGAATTGAATTGACCTGTATCATCATTGACTGGCTCTAAGAAAAGGACAGAGTGAAGTGGTTGTCAGACTAACCATGGGTGAGTGGTGAGACTGAACTACTTGCTAGAGCCTCTGCCTGCGAATGCGTTCTGTTTCACATCAGTCATCAATATGGAGCTTTTCTTTCTTAAAACAGGTCAGTCCCAGCAGACGTTGAAAGGTGCTCATATTTTATTTGTTAAATGACTTCTTTATGGTTTGCAGCTAGAAACTTGTTTCTGAGCGCATGCACTGATCTCCCGGGATTAACCTGACCCCCCAGGGACCTTCCCGCAGCCCTGCTAGCGGAGACGCAGCCCCATGAGGTGCCCTTGGTAAATCACTAGCAGTTCGGTTCAGTGAATTGCTGCAAACACAGTGAGGACCTGCTGTGAATGCCCACCTTGCCCGATTGTTCCAGATGTGACCGCTCCTTGGTAGGGCCTGCTGCTGGGGAGCATAGTGGGCAGGCTGTACTTCAAGGGCATACAGTCAACAAAGACTGAACCCAGTGGAAACATTTTCCTGCCCTCTCTGAGGGTTCATGTTCCTGAGAGACGGCCTTCGTTCTATAGCCTGAGTATGATGGTCGACCCAGGACAAGCAATGATGTGTGGTCATCCTTTGCAGCCCTTACCTGTGTACCACAATGGGTCGGTGCCTCTGTACCAGAGTTCACTTATGAGCAAATCCTGCATTTATTCTAGTGGTTAAAGCACAAGTTAAGACTCATATCCCACCCAAGTACCTGGATTGGATACCTGACTCTAGTTCCTGATGAACTTTCTGCTCATGCAGAATCTGGGGGCGGTAGTGATAGCTCGAATATGTGGGTTTCTAACCAAGAGAGAGAGGCCTGTTTTGAACCTAAACTGCAAACTTTGGCCCACCCAGCTCAGTCCTGGGAGGTAAAGCAGGTGGTCAAAGAACTCTGTTTCTTTCTCTTTGCCTCTCAAAAAAAAAATTCTAAAAATTTCCACATATGCAAATAACTCTTTGTTTTGATACTTGATGTGGCATTTTGTTTGTATGTGCCTCTTTTCAGTAATTCCGAATCGTTAACTGAGCTTCCACTATATGTGTAAACATCAAGCCAAATACTGAGAGAGAGTGGAAGAGCGGTGGTCCTCATTGTAGCGTAGCTCTGAGGGGGAGGAGGGAGATAAGCCAGACCGTGGTTGTAATGGGGTGTATTCACAGCCACGGCACATGTGTGTGCAAGGAAGGGTGTGCATCTCCAGGTTGGGACTGTGTGTGGGGGGGAGGGGGGGCTCTGAAGGCTTTTCTTAGGTTGCTCCTTCTTGGACTGTACAAAGTTATTTTTTTAAAGTTTGTAGAAACTTTATCTTGGTGCAAAAATGTGTTTTGAAATCAGTGCATATTTTTTAATTTGTAGCATGCATTTTTACAAAATTTGAGAAGAGTTCTATGCTTTTCTTTAACAAAAAAAAAAGTTACCCAGTTGGTTTCTTTGTTTTAATGTTTATTTGTTTGAAAGGCAGACTAGCAGTAAAGACAAAACACAGAATCTTTGATCCATAAATTCACTCCCCAGATGGCTGCAACAGTCTGTTCTTGGCCAGATGGGAGTCAGAGGGCTGGAATGCCCTCCTGTGCACTTGGCCCATCTTCTGCTGCCTGTCCGGCTGCCGTAGTGAGGTGCAGCAGCTGAGACCAGAGGTGGTGCTCTGATAAGGGATGCTGGTGTTGAAAGTGGTGGCTTAGCCTTCTGTGACACAGCACCAACCCCAATAAGCACTCTTTTAATTTTACTTTTTCATAATTTCATTTAGGATTTTTTTTAAATGATCATCGTCTTCAAAACTTCATTGTTGAAGGATGAAACCTAAGGTATACAGGACACTCAGACACAGAGCGACGGATTCCCTGTCCGTGTCTAATAAATGCACTGTCTGCCTTCTGTTTGTGAAGCAATTTGACTGATAGTCACAGTGAACTAATTTCTGCTGAGCCCAGAACCAAAGATAGGTTCTCATCCAGCAAGGATCAACTGTTAACTAAATAGACGTCATATTTTCTCATCCACAAGGCTTGCACACACACAGAATCTTGACTAAGGGAAGGCATTTCTGTTTACAGTAATGCTCATTGAAGAAGGGAACACTGGAAGGCGGGCGCAGTGTGCCACTGGGGAATATAAATGATTGCTTCACTTGTTCCTGGAGGTGAACAGAAATACTGAGCTCCAGAAACAGTACTGAAGTCTTGTTTTTTTTGGAAAAAAGTCCAAACAGGGGGTTTCCTTTGCCTAAGAGGGATGGCAATTCTATCTGGCAGAGCCCTGCCCTGCCCTGTGTATCTGTCACTAAACTCTGCAGTCGTGAAACATGTGTCTGCTTGGCTTCGTGCTCCTTGAAACTCTCATGGCTTCATGAGGTATAACTGAGGACCCCGACTGAGTAGCCCCTGCTTTGTAGTTGAGGTATCGATGCTGTTTCTGAACAATCCTCACTTACAACATCAGCTCCAGCAGATGTCATCAGTCATGTTGTGCACTGCTCAGTAAAAATGGGAGGTTGCTACAGCAGCAGTGACACCCCTTGGTAAAATATAAACCACGGGTGTGAAAGATGCAGAGCATTCCATCTTGCAGAAAATAGGAACGAAATTGTCAGTTGCAGAGAGAAGTCATTTCCCTCCCTAAACTGAAAAAGAATCAAACACAGTTAAGGTGGCATTGCTCTTGGAGGAGACTTTTAATTCAGAGAAATATAACATGTTGGAAAGCAGCTTCAGACTTGTCGATGACATAGTCGTGCTGGCCTGGAGTGGGAGTGGCGTGGGCTGAAAACATAGAGGGAGAGCAATAGAGGGGCTCGGGGGGGGCGGGGATCTCATGTAGTTTGGTAGCATACCACCAAAACTGGCTGGAGAAATTGATGTAGACTGATTAGGCTTGCACATTGAAACACAGAGTTGGAAGCAGAAAGTAGAGATTTTGTGTAAAGAGCAGAGCAAGGAGCCAGTCAGCTACTGCTTCCTACCTGGGCTTCCTGAGGGACTTGGGCCACAGATTCTTCCAGATTGAAGTTGCATTGAGAGCTGCAGGGTCAGCTTGTGTCCATGTCCCCGGTTGAGCTGTAGTACTTGTGGCCTTGCTTGGATTGGCTAGCGATAACATGCTCTTCAGGGATTTTGAAAGTCAGAGAGGTGGGCTGCAGTCCTTCTATGGGAGACAAAAGAAGTGAGAGTTAGTGTCCCCTCAGGGTCTGGGTTTCTTGGAGAAGGAACTCCGAAGACAAGACCAAATATCAAGATGATGCCAGGCAGGTAGGTGAAGGACAATATGAGTTTAGTGTTAGAGGACTCTGTAGGGTTGCCTGCATCACTCCCTCAGTTCAGGGAGTTAATTTTAGCAAGAGCTTGATTTGCAATCATAAAATCATAGCAAGGAAAGTTGGAGCTGAGGGAGGGAAGCAGAGTGACTGGGAGAAGAGAACCTGATGGGATCACATTATTCACAGACCACACAGAACTAGCAACTTACAAATTGACCTGCTCTAGATCTATTGAATTCAAGTCCCACTGTAGGCCTCACAGAACACACGACCTGGGTGGTCTGGACTTCTGGTACCGGGGCTTCAGTGAAGTAGTATAGTCAGATGATCAGAGCCAGGTTGCTATAGATAACACTAGGCGGTGACAAGGCAGACTCTGGGAGGATTCCATTTGGTGACTCACGGGCTATGATTAGGCTCCTGGGATGCACTTGCTGGATGATGTCACCCTGTAGGACTGCTGTGTGACTGCTCACGGTCTTGGATCCCTGGGCTCAGTCTTAGGTGATTAGACGGAGCAATGTCCCTGTGTAACTTGCCCTCTGAAATGTGCCCTCTGCCACCAAGCTTCCCATTTCCCCAGCTGTTGGCATGAAAAGTTTGAAGACTCCAGGTATTGTATTCATGGAGCTGACATTGGGACACAGTAGTCTAAGGTGCCTGCAGCACTGGCATCCCATGTAGGCACCAGTTCTTGTCTTGGTTGCTCCATTTCCAGTCCTGTTCCCTGCTAACGGCCTTGGAAAGCAGTGTTAACATGTCTCCCGTGCTTGAGCCCCTGCCGCTCATGTGGGAGACAGTCAGCTGGCCCAACACCCACCATTGTGGCTACTTAGGGAGTGAGCCACTGGATGGAAGATGTCTCTCTTTCTCCTCTCACTTTAAAATAAATAAGTCTTTAAACAAAATATTCTTGAAATAGTAGCTACTCTCTGTGTTTCAGCACATTTACTGAACTCTGCCCAACAGAACTGTAGGCAGCCATCACAACGTCATGGGGTTGGCTGTGAGGCTGTGAGCACACAGGGTCTTGCAGGCATGCTCTGCTGACGAGCCCGCATGCGTCTTTACCGGGTTCTCTGGAAGAGAACCTCTCCTGCTTGTGCCAGAGGGGTATAACAGCCATCAACTTCAGGCTTTTCTAAGAAGGATGTTATATGAGATTAGGGGAACGTCATATTTCCTTTTTTTTGCTTGTAATGATTTCATGTCACATCATCTCACTGAAGGGACAGACAGGAGTTCAGAACTGAAGGGAACAGTGATTCACTCAGGTGAGAAATTTCCTCTGTGAAGTTGACAAAGAAAGATGCCTTGCAGAGAGAGAGGCGAGACAGCTCTGGACCAGCATGAATGGGTTTCCTATGTTGCATGGGCATGCAAACTGGAGGCCCTGTGTTGGCTGAGGCTGTCACGCTCTGAGCAATTCCAGAGGTTTCTGTCATTTCCGCTGCTTTGCTCTGTCTCCTGCTCCCCACAGCTG